ATTTTTCATATCAATGTTACATTCGTGTGAGAAATGAATCACCTGAATATAAGAATCGTTGTGTTTTTGTACCTTAGAATGATTTTTATCTACAGAGGGAGCGTGTTGAACCACCATGTTTCTACAGTAGCCCAGAACGGACAAACCAAACACTGAATCCATGTAGGGAGTTTTATGATTTTTATGAGTTTCTTGGTCGCTGTAGTTTCTCCTATTAGTTGGTTACAGTCTGCAGTCTCACCACGGGTCCTTTAAGTTAAGAGTCTGAAGCTTTCAGACCCCCATTGAGTTCTGGATTTAATCTCCTACAACCTTATGCTAATAAAAATCCAGGGTGTCACAATGACAACCAGTCTGACAGCAAACACATGTGGTAAAGTGACTTCATGCCAGCAACAAGTCTAACCACCTCAGACCGACCTTTGACCTGCAGATCAGCTGACAGGCTCAATTGGCTCTACGTGATATCCATATTAACACATACACACACAGACGCTCTGACCCACTGTGTGTTTGCACTGTGTCTTATCATTGCTGGGGGTTCAGTGCCTTGCTCAGGGACACTGCGACAGGTCACAGCTGTTCTTGTCTCTATTGTTTTGTATCCAGTAGCTGCTGTTTCCACTTTTTCTGCTGCTGTCATCAGTCAGCAGCAGCTTCTACTTAAAAGAGTCTGAGAGTTGCGCAATGCTGCCTCTGATTGGTCAGCTGACACTGCCAAACAGGAAGAGAGGGTGAGCTGGCACACACACAGAGTAAGGTGGTGGTGTGTGGCAGATTACAGAAAGTAGATCACTACCTTGCAAACACTTCCTTTGCTAGCTACGCTAATGCTAATCTGTGAACACACAAATACGTTTGTATGTCTATACTTGTGAGGACCAGAGGTGGCAAAAGTAAACACGTTCTTTACTCCAGTAGAAGTACAGATACTTACTACTTAAAAGATTAGTAAAAGGGAAGAAGTACAAGCTCTGAAATGTACTTGAAGTATATTAAACTTCTACTGGTGGTTTCTGTTTAAAGCAGACTGAAACTGCACATAGAAATCTAATGTTAGTGAATAAAGTCTCTTGTCTGTTTCATCTTTTATGTAGTTTTCATCGCGTTACCTCTGTCATGTATGATATGCACCGGTCTTGATGATAAATCCCCTCAGTTGTATTAAAACTGAGGTTAACAAGCCTGTTTTGGAGACGTAAGGAAAAGAAAGTTCAGTTAACTACAGTAAAGAAGAGTTTGGACTTTGTTACTTGGACCTCTTTGACATTTACTAACCACACACACACAGAGAAGTGTGTGTATTGTTGGTGAAGGGGCAGCCGTCCAGCAACAAGTAGAGACAGAGTCATAGTATGAACGACGGTTACAGGACACACCCACAAACACACACACACACCCACACACAGTGCCCTACAAATATGAGAGACTCCATGTTGTGAGTTTAAAGTTTAATATTTTAAGTCTTAAGGATTTTCTTTCGTCTATTTTACAGAAACTTTTTGCACTCAACTGACTTGGTGATGATCAGATAGTTTTGCAGACGAAGGGTTAGAACAGAAATGTACTGATATATAAACTATAAGGTCAAAGTTTCCTGCATGTGGACAGATGAATGTATCACCATGTGAGGATGAAACATGTGACCATGTGCATTACTCTGCAGCCAGCAGCCTCTAGTCCTCTGGGAAGGCTTTCCACAAGAATGTAATAAAGGAAAGGAAGGGAAGAGGGTTCTTGGGTGGCACTGGCGCCCTATTATCCTTATCATCTAGAGATACTGGTATCATATGAAACTAGATGACTTAACACATCCATTGTTACCAACCATGTCCTGCTGGCATGTAGGGAAGGAGGTGAAATAATGCTCCAAAGTGAGGATACATTTTCACCTGTTTGCCCACTTTATGTTAATCACATGTAGTTTTTTGTATTTATGTATAAATGTGTTATATAACTATTTCTGCAGACTGGATCCATAAACAGTGTTGGAATTACATAAATTGGGAATGATGGAAAGCGGAGACCTATATACTGTCAATGGACACGTACTTGATGTCACCCCTGGTAATATACTGTATATAGAACATAATGTAATATATTTTATTATCTGTATCTGTTCAGCCAACTAAATTATCTGTATTTATAAATGTACTCAGAAGGGGCGGGGCTTAAACCAGTCGTTAATTTAAGCCTAAAATAGATGTAGGTTGATCAGAAGTTGCTTTATTTATTGGAAAACTGTTTACAGAACAAGTTTATTTAATAAAAGTTACTATAAGTACAGATATTGACACATTTTACTTAACCATAATATTTAGAATATAAACTGAGGAGCTGTAGATTACTGAGCCTTTCAACGAATTAAAATCGAGCACATAATGTATGGTAATGAAATTCAACTGTGACTCCTTTTCCATTTCCCATCAGGCAATGGGGTTTGTTTTTTGCTGGTTAATGTCACAAATGTCAAAAGAGATGACGAGAGGACACCGTAGTTTCAGACATATCGGTCATAACAGCAGCAAAGAGACACGCTTCATATAAATAATAAAAGAATAGAATAAATAAAACTTTATTGCGTTACAGAACTCGGACATTACATCAGGACGTCTCTACAACCCTCCTGTCTCTCTCTCCCTGTATCCTGTCTGTCTGCTATCAGTCCAATAACAACAAAATGCCAAAATAAACATAAATAAATACAGCAACAACACTGCTGCTGTGTCGCTGCATTTATTTATATATTTATTTTTGGCATTTTCAAGCTGTTTATAAGTTTCCTGGTGTTTCCTCACAGGTCACATG